CGGGGGAGAGCGCCAGCGAGGGCAGAGACGCCTCGAAGCACCTCGGGGAGTCGGAACGTGGCATTGGGCGAGGCAAAGATGACATCTGCGTTGAGGACGATTTCAAAGCCGCCTCCTGGACACTGAATTAGCAATAAACAGGTATACAGGGCCTGACGTGAGTCTCACCGTGGGCGTGTCCATTGCAAGCAATCACGATGGGCTTCTTCCCCGTCCGATTTGACATGCCTCCAAACCCGCCATGGGGGTACTCATGGGCTACATTCCCCGTGTTCAGAATGTCCAGACGTTGTTTAAGGTCCATGCCCGCGCAGAAGGCCTTGTCGCCGGCGCCTGTGAAGACAGCGCATCGCAGCTCGGGCTCGGAGTCGTACCACTTCCAGAGCGCACCGAGCTCAATTGTGGCTTCCACAGGCAGGCAATTGCGGTTCTCGGGGCGATTGATTGTGACTAGGAGAATGTGTTTTCTTGGAAAGGTTACAAGACTGTGCTCGACATGCGGGTAAGGGACCTCGATCCAGTCAGGGATGGGGTTTTTCGTTCTCGGCGCAGACATAATTGGCGGTTTCTTCTTGGATTCTTCCTGGGTGGTAGGTATTACGCTCAATCAGACCAGTCTTCGCAACCTATGTCTTGGTGCCAACTACCATCTCATGTGCCAAGTCTTATCGACATTCTCTGGCTATTCAAAGCCACCAACTACCGTCGAGCCATGAGACCTCGGCCGCCGGCTGGAGAAGTCTGGAATTTACAGGGCTCGTGTGAATCTTGCTGTTTCGGGCATGAAGCTGTTGAGGACGAGAGCTTGGGGTGGAATCCATTATCCGTCTCCAACCCCCTCACGCGACACGAAGCACCCCCCCTCATGAATCATTGTGCGGCCTCCAAACTATCCCACCGTATTGACTCATGAAGAGTGTCTGGGGCCCCGCGTTGGATTTCCAGCCCCTGCATCGAATTATGGACACGAGGTCGCTGCAAGTCCCAAGCTCCAGATGGTTCCAACTTCCGGGGTACCGCTAATGAGATGATCTCCCCATGCGAACCAATGGAGTTTGTTAGCCGAGGTACCTAGGGTTGTTTCAATGAACTTGTAGTAGCTGAACCTCACTGATTTGACTGCCTTGAATTATTGTGAAATGCCATGAAGAGGTCTCCATCTTTGGTTCTGCCATCATCCAGCTTCCCCTGAGTCTTTGAGCCGAGCCAAACGACCACCATGTCGCATTCACACCCGACCAAATCACCTCCCCCTCCAACACCAACCTTCCTGAAGCTCACCTTCCCAGCCCCCAGGGTGCTTCTCATCCGCATGGACCGCCCCAAGGCCCTCAATGCGATGACGACCGCCGCCCAGTGGGAGATGGACTCTGTCTGGAAATGGTTCGACGAGGAGCCCAACCTGTCAATAGCCATTCTCACGGGCACCGGCCGCGCATTCTCCGCTGGGGCAGACCTCAAGGAGTGGAATGGGAGCATGGCGCCCGACGCCGACCCGAGCAAGAGGATGGGCAAGGCGCCAGAATTCACTCCGCTCAGCAGGCGGATGGGCAAGAAACCGGTCATCGCCGCGGTGAACGGCCTCGCCATGGGCGGTGGCTGCGAGTTTGTCGTGAACTGCGACATTGTCTTGGCTACTGAAGAGGCGACGTTTGGACTGCCTGAGGTGAAGAGGGGCGTTGCTGCTATTGGAGGCGCGTTGCCCAGACTCATCAGGAATATTGGGCTCCAAAGGGCGTCTGAGTTTGCTCTGACTGGCCGCACTGCCACCGCTGCAGAGATGGAGAGCTGGGGGATCGTGAATAAGATTGTCCCTAAGGATGGAGACTTGATTAAGGAGGCGGTCTCTCTTGCAGCAACTATTGCTGAGAATAGTCCAGATTCAATTATCTGCACGAGAGCAGGTTTACGACAAGGTTGGCAAACAGATGTTGAGACGGCGGTGTCAGAGACACTGTCTAAGGAATTCGAGGAGCTGCAACGAGGTGAGAATATTCTAGAAGGGTTGAAGGCTTTTACAGAGAAACGGAAGCCAGTTTGGAAGGGTAGCCGCCTGTAAGATCTAAATAAACTTTGCTCTGTTTTTCTATGGTAATGCTGGATCAGATGGTGTGGTTTGCTCTCTGAATGGAGTATCCAGGATAGACGGATGAACTGGACTTCTAGCCAGTAACTTGATGAAGAGTATCCATTTTGTTCTCATGTAATAAACCTAGAAAGTGTTGGGGAATTGACACAATGGATGGAAGATCACGCTCAATACAATGACATGCCTGATGAATCCCTCTACCGAGCCTCAGAAGACTTTGGTCTCGACCTTGGCGGATACACATTCCTAGTCTCATATGAAGATAGACCCTTGGTCATTTCCCAGTCTAGGGGTATGAGCTATCCTAGATTAAGGTATGATTAAACGCCTCTAAAGCTGACCTCCATCATTACTCAGTCTCCCAACTCCCCAGCTCCCCGCACCATCAGGGCCCCTCTCCACTCCCCCATGTTCTTAGGCAAGAAAGGACTCTTTCTCCGCGATGGTAGCCATTTTCCGGGGAAGTGGGACTTCTCAGTCTTGGTTCGGGGCAGAGGGAGTGTCCGATAGAGCCAAGTCTTGGTGGCTTGGGTACATTGCGTAGGTCCTGCTGGGAGTGAGACATGGGCAACACTTGATGACACATTGCAGAACAATAGTCTATCACCGTACTGTGCTAGAACCATTTCGTTTTCATACTATTTTCGCAATCACAACAACCTGGTGCTTCCCTGCCCCTGCGAAAATAGCATAAACTCAGGGTCCTGCTCCGCCATTCTCGAGCTGTGATACCGACACGCTCAAACCTCCTATTCTTTGTCACTTCCAAGATCACCATTGTCTAAATCCTTGCAATGTCGACGCTGCCAGAGAAGACCTCTGTCGATGGAGTGGAGGTAAGCAGGTTGGAAAACATCGACCAGGTCAATACCATTGAGCAGGAGAAGGAGAAGGCAAAGCGAGACAGCGATGTCGACTCCGTCAACTCCGCCGCCCTGGGTGACGATATTCCTCCTGGCTACTTCTACTCTCCCCGTTTTCTGGGCTGTCTACTAGTATGTCTTGATAGTCTCTTATCTTTGTACCAGATCAAAGCTAACCTTGCCAAAGGCTTTCTGTCTCTCGGCCATCAGCGCCTACCTCTTCCTCATCCTCCCGACGAATATCCTCACCTACATCAACGAGGACATCGGCCCTAGTAGCTATATATCGTGGTTCAACATTGCACGAACACTCTCCCTCTCGTTCACCTATACTATTCTCGGCCGACTCTCCGACCTTTTCGGCAGAAGATGGTTCTTCATCGGTGGTAATATCGTTGCTTTGGTTGGGATCATTGTCTGTGCATTCGCCAAGAATGTTGACTCCCTCATTGTTGGCGCTGCCATCTACGGGTTGGGAGAAACAGTTCAGCTGTCTTTCAATGTAGCGATTGGCGAGCTTGTTCCTAACAAGTATCGACCAATGGTTCTTTCATTCATCTTCTTGACCAATGCTCCTATCGCAACTTTTGGGCCAATCATCGGTGAGTGAGCAAATATCCCCAACATAATTGGACTTCAAGGCTGACAGAAGTTGAAGCTCGGAAGTTCATCGAACATACGAACCTAGGCTGGCGCTGGTGTTTCTACATCAACATCATCGATGTCGGTCTTACCATCATTCTACTCTACTTCTTCTATCACCCACCGACCTTTGAGCTCCTCCACGAGCGCACGACTAAGAAGCAGCTGCTAAAAGACCTTGACTATCTCGGCATCTTCCTCTGGACTGCTGGCTTGACCATCTTCCTCATGGGTATCTCATGGGGCGGCAACATGTATCCTTGGAAGAGCGCTGCCACCATCTCCTCCATCGTCATCGGCGTAGTCCTCCTCGTTGCAATGTTCGTCTGGGAGAGCTACGCTGATCTTAAGTATCCCTCCATTCCCGTCAAGTTCTTCCGCAACCGCGGTTTCGTCAGTCTGGTCACCATGGCTACCGTGGCAAGCATGTTCTACTACTCGGCCGTGCTGCTCTGGCCACAGCAGGTCCAGGCACTCTTCACCAAGGATGTGACATACGCAGGCTGGCTGTCATGCACGGTTGCCTCAAGCACAGCCCTGGGCCAAGTCTGTGCTGGCGCCATCGTCCGCTGGGGAGGAAACGTCCGCTACTGGCTCATCTTTTCCACCTTCGCCATGGTGGGCTTCGTGTCTGCCTTGGCTTCGTTGACGCCTGCGGATAAGAACACCGGCATTGCTTTGACCATCTTGGGCCCCTTCTTTGTCGGCTTCATTGAGCTTGCGTCTCTCGCCCTGGCGCCGTTGTTCTGTGCTGCTCAGGACATTGGACTTGCCTCTGGGCTGCTTGCTTCGATCCGGTCTGCGGGAGGGTCTATCGCGGTCACAGTCTACAGCACCATCCTCACCAACCGCCTGTCCAGCACTATCCCTGAAATCATTGTTCCTGCAGCCGAGCAGGCTGGTCTGGACCCGTCTCAAGTATCCAGTCTGCTCAAGGCAGTCACGGCAAAAAATCTCTCGGGCTTCTCGTCGGCTATTCAGGCGGCTGTTTCGGGGGCGCTTCCTACAGCATACGCTGCTGCTTTCAAGACTGTGTATCTGGCTAGTTTGGGATTTGGAGGTATCGCGATTGTTGGGTGTTTGTTCTCTAAAGACGCAAAGGAGCACTTGACTGACAAGGTGGAGAGGAAGATGGGTGATGCCAACGTCAAGAAGACCCAGAAGGATATGGCTGTGTGATTAACGTTTCTGCTTCATGACCAGAATGTAGTTGGATTGCGAATGCAATCTTCTTATGGGATCATCTACAACTAATACAGTACGATAGGCATCTAGGATGTGCGATTCAAGATACGTAGGACGAATATCCATGTGTTTGGCAATTTCAAATTCAATCTTCATAATGCCGTGACTTGAACAGTGCATCAATGTAACATTACCGACTGTTCCCATCCCATCAGAATACTTCAAAGCTTGGGAATCAACTCCTCTTCCTTTGGCACAGCAGGGACAATGAGCGGTGCACCTCCCAAGACGATCTTCCTTCTCGAATCCGCATACCCACGGGCGTACTTATCCAGCAGAGACGTCTCCCTGAAAGCGCCGTTGAAGCGCCCGTCGTCCCAGTACAGCCGTCGCAGCCACAAATGTAGCAGCGGGTAATCGTGTCGGATACTGCGCAAAGTGCACTGCATTACAGTGTGGTACGCAGCGTCAAAGCGAACCAGGGTCGTGAACAAGCGCACGTCCGCTTCCGTCAAGTCATCGCCGAAGAGGAACTTGCGTCCATCAGACAGGCGAGACTCAAGTCTGTCTAGGGCGGCGAAGAGGGGTGTGATGTTCTCATTGTACGCCTCCTGTGTAGTGGCAAAACCAACCTTGTAGACGCCGTTGTTGACGTCGCGATATACCCATTCATTGAGCTCATCGATATCCTTGCGCAAAGCCTCGGGGTACAGACCTCCGTTGGGCTGGTTGGCCGCACGAAGATGCTCGGGCACAACGGCATCAAACTCCGAGGCAAACATGCGCAGGATCTCGGACGATTCGTTGTTCACGGGCTGGTCCGTCTTCTTGTCCCAGAGAAGAGGGACCGTGAACCGGCCATCATAGTTGGGATCTGCCTTGAGATAGAGCTGTCGGATCTTGGTGAAGCCCGGGTGCAGCGGATCTTCGGCCAGGGAACCCTCCTCGCCGCTGAAGTACCAGCCCTCGGGTCCCATAACAGGGTGGAATGCGTAGACATCAATGGCGGATTCTAACCCTTTGAGCTTCCTGGCGATGAGCGTGCGATGGGCCTATCTCGGTGACGAATATTAGTGGTTGAGTGCAGCTGGGAGGAAAGACAGTCATACCCATGGACACGACGGACTCAGGTAGAGCACGTATCTGCCCGCCTCGGCTGGGAATTGGGATTTTGGGTCGCTTGACACAAAGCTGCGAAATGTACTGTCTGGCCGGACAAACTTGCCCTCCTTTGATTGATAGGTCTGTATTATCTGTGAGCTCTTGTGTCGTGATCTCATGGATGAGATGTCATACGATTCCTGTAGCCATGATGTCGAACTTGTAAATGAGCTCTGTCTGTGAAAAAATGTACTTCTACTCTTTACACAAGAGGTAGAACATCCAAGTCCTAGGGCTTATTTAATATGGGATGGACACTATTAAATATCTTTTGGCTTAATAGTGTTAATCCATCTTTGACTGCATCTAAGGCCATCTTCATTGCGCCATCACCCTGGACACTGGAAGCCGGACCAGGAAGCCGGACCATGAGCGGACCAAAAAGCTTAGAAATTCGGCTTATCAAGCAGCCGCGCGGTTGCTGAGAACGAAGCGGAGTAGGTCGGAGAGTGAGACTGATGATCTTAGAGGGCAGGTCAACCGTCCCACCTAGCACGTGACTTCCTGCGGCCTGGCAGAGGCCTTAGTCCGTAATAACAAGACCTTGGAATTTGCTTACTAAGTTATCTGTATATAGCCCAGAACAAAGCTAAGATACTGCCTTAGGCATCTATTGTAATGCGTTTGAACCCCGCTCTGCCTGTGGACTTGTCATACCACCGACCTACCTAGGTACCTACCTTAACAATAACAACTATTTATCAAATCAGCAACACAGATACACGAAGCTATGGATTATTTTCTCGCAGGAAAATATAAAAATGCACTTGAAGGCTATGGTGCACTGATTTCGGACCTTCATCCAATGATATACACACCTTCATCCGAAGTGGCCAGCGACATCGCGAAGCTTGACTTCGATATCCAGCAGTTCCTGACCCACATCGAATGCCCAGGTGATGCTTCAACACGGGCGTCACGATTTGAAGATCTTGGAAGGACGTTTTTTGCCCGATGGATAGCGAAGGGATCGATCCCAGATCTCGAAAATAGCATCAAGAATCTTCAGGCGGCACTAAAAATGACACAACCCGGAGCGCCTCTACAAACAGCCAGACAGGCGGGCCTGTCTCAGGCTATGCGTGCAAAAGTTATCGCATCAAATGATAAAGGCTATACAGATGTTTACATTCAATCATTGCAGGATTTGTTGCAGAGCACCGGCTCCAAGTATCTTCTGCCATTAGCTGAGGCGTATGGAATACGGTGGATCCAATTCCGTGATGCTGAAGATCTCGACAAATATAGCGACTTGCTTCAAGAAGTCCTAGATCTCCACTCTAGTCGTGGTGACTTACGCCGGAGACCCCTTAGGCTCTTGGGACAGTCATATGTCACGAAACATGAAGTAACGGGCGATCTAGGCTACCTCGATGCATGTTTCGAACTATATCAGGAGGCACTAGATATTCCGGCGAATACCATTGCAGCTACTATTGGGCGAGCATTAGTACTCCGAGACCTAGGGGAGGCCTTCCGAACGAGATATCTTCGGTTGGGAGATCCGAAAGATGCTGAGTTATCTCTTCGTTGGTGTGAGGAAGCGGTCAACATAATTCCGGTTGAATCATCGCCTATGATACAATTCAGTCTGAAATCATCGCTTGCATCATGCTATGCTGTTAGGTTTGGACAGCTTCAATCAATCGTAGATATTGATATCTCGATTCGAATCATGGTTGATGCTCTGCGCATCTTACCGGAAAATGAACCATTTCATTCATCAGGAAACCTGCAGCTAGCGCAGCTTTTTCAAGCAAGATATGTTCAACGAGAAGACATAGGGGATCTAGACCAGATCGTGTCACTATCTAAAAAAGCAGCTGGTAATGGCCCACACAACCGAAAGTCCGAAATTCAGTTACTACATATTTCCGCCAAAGCGTTGAACTCCAGATACAGGCAACTAGGACATAGTGAAGATATTGATGAGTCCATTGAGAAAATTTCTAAGGCTCTGTCTCTCACCCAGGATCAAGATGAAACTTTTCAGCCAGAACTTCTTGAGACTCTGGCCAATTCGTATGAGTTCAAATACAAAAGACTTCTATCACGAGGAGATCTTGAAATGGCAATAAGTTATCGGAAGCAAATCATTGCTCTCCTCCCTATAGGTCACTCAGAGCTACCAACAGCATACTCCGCACTCGGGAGTCTATACGATGATAAATCTGAAATAACAAAAGCAGAAGAGGACTATGAAATGACCTTACAGACGTACCAGAAAGCGGTAGATGCAGCTCTAGAAAATGACCCAACTCGAATTCTTTCTCTGCAATACCTTGGGATAGAATACCAGAAGCGGTTTCAACGACTTAAAATTCAATCGGATCTAGATACTGCAACTAGGACGTTAGAGAAGGCCTTTCGACAACCACAAGCGCCTGTAATGTTTCGCATATTGGTTGGGAAGAATCTAGCCGACTGGCTGATAGAGGTAGAAAATCCTTCAGCTGCATACCAGGCCGCTACTGAAATACTTTCCTTACTCTCTCAATTTACTCCACGGTCCTTAGAAATATCAGATAAGCAAAGCTTGCTGGGTAGTATTACTGGGATACCTAGTCTTGCGGCAAGTCTCGCACTAATAGCAGGAGAGGAACCATACACAGCAATTCAGCATCTTGAATCAGGAAGAGGGAATATAGTAACCTCTCTCAGCGATCTCCGCGTTGACACCATCAAACTCAATTTATCACATCCTCATCTAGCTGAACAGTTTATTCAGCTAAAAGATAAGCTAGATACTAGGCCAGGGTTAATAACAGGTTTTTCTAACCCACGCCATTATGCAGACCGGCAATTAGCTTCTATTATTAAAGAAATTCGAGAATTGCCGGGGTTTAATCGATTTTTACTTCCCCCATCTGAGGATAACCTGAAGTCTGCAGCAAGATATAGACCGATAGTGATTATCAACATGACGCTTAAGCGCTGCAATGCTCTTATTATCAAACCTGATCAAATTATCTCCTTAGAGCTTCCGGAATTATACTATACCGACGTTGCAGAATACGCGGCTCAGCAGGAAATTGACCACAGTACACTAGAGTGGCTCTGGGACACAACCGCCCACCCAATCTTGGAGAATTTAGGGTATCTTGAACCACCTACTGAATCTCCTTGGCCACGTGTTTTTTGGGTTCCTACGGGGCCCCTACTATCCATGCCTATACATGCGGCCGGGCATCACTACCCGGGGTCAAACAAGACTGTTCTAGATTGTGTGGTCTCTGTGTACAGTTCTTCTGTAAGAGCACTTATACAGGGCCGTATGAATGCTGCTAGAGCAGCAGTTTCATCTAGGCCCAAGGGACAGGCTGTGCTTATTGGAGTTCAAAATCTTCCATTCGCGTCGGATGAGATTGATCGACTTGAGGAGTTATGCACTGAGATGAATCTGCAGACAAAGAGAGTGAATCCTTATCGAAGTGAAGCGCTTGCTTCCTTATCTCAATGTGAGATTTATCATTTCGCAGGGCATAGGGCAACGCATCCTGTGAGCCCATTAAGAAGTTCGCTGAAGATGAATGACGAGCCGGTCACGGTCCAAGACTTGTTTAATATGAGACTGCATGAGCATGCTCCGTTTCTGGCCTACCTTTCCGCATGCAGTACAGGCCGTACCGAGGATGAGGAACTTGTAGATAAAGGCCTGCATTTAATCAGCACATGCCAGCTGGCAGGTTTCCAAAATATGATTAGGACTCTACAGAGAGCGAACGATTTCTATTATTCTCAGGTCGCGAAGATGACTTATACATGGATCAAAAATGAAAAGATGGAAGATAAGTCTGTTGCAGAAGGTCTTCACCATACAATTAGAAATCTTCGTGATCAGTGGATTGCTAAAAATCAAATTGATGAGGGCGCAGGAGGAGATCCGGTAAGCGGGGATGATAATTCAAACAGAAGAAGAGATATTATCCCCTGTGAAGAGCAACCTATATTCTGGGCTCCGTTTGTTTGCTTTAGTATTTATTAACATGCTTTCTTAATATCACTCTCGTCTCCAAGGAAACTTAGGGCCTGGAGGGGCGGCTGAGATTACAATAACCGCCTTTTAAGACATTTTCAGTAGATATACTTTCCATAGGTAGCCTCAAGTGAGTAGCTTGATTTGACTACTAGGATTCTTAGCCTAATCTAAACGTAGTTCTCCAGATTTTGATACCTTCTAGTAAGCTGTAGAGTTTCGGGATGGTATTATAGGCCTTGCTCAATCAGATGAAACCTTGATGATACGTATTCGCATAGCGCGCATGACTCTTTTGGTAGAGCTTTCCATAAGAGCTTCTTGTTAGTAATGGGATCGCATGCCTTCAGCGCAATAGTATTTGGCACAAAAGTCTTACTCTCAACACATATCTCCCTAGAATTGGATGATGCGGTCTGGACTCGTAAACCCGCTCCCTTGTGTATGTTTTGAATCCATGAAAACACCAGTGAATGAAGCATAAAACGTTTCCCGTAAAATCTGTCTTATTCTTAAATAACTAACAAAAATGTCTACACAGAATCTCTCATACATAATACTCAGTCAACGTTGGTAGAGAGCAGTCTGCAGGATAGCTCGTCCAGTCGATGGCATCACTCGCACGCCCTTTTGTAAATCACCTTCTAAGGAAGAGTGGACCTAGGCGATGGAAACATCTCGAACTTTGACTTTAGCCAGCAGAGCAAGTAGATCTGTGCTGAATGGGAATTTGCCACGACGTTTGGATATGCGACCTGGCGCTGCTATACATGCTGATTTAAACGTCCTTGCTAATTTCGATAGCCTCATCGACCTTGTTGAAGAGTTCAAATGCGGTACACCTAGTCTTTTGAGGAACCAATAATCGATTCAAAGCCAAGTCTACTATCCGCGGGGTGATATCGTCACAACGCCGCCCATTGCGATGAATCCCCTGGACAAATTTTCGCACAGATTCGAGCGGGCCGTGGCTGTCGTGAAAATATGCATCGTCAAGGTTTCCTAGTTTTCTGTGTAAAGACGCAATCTCCATCCTTCTTTGCTTCTGGAACTCGTGGAGGCCTTGATTTCCGTACGTAATGAAAGCCGAGATCTCAAGGAGGATGCACCCCAGTGACCATATATCGTCCGATGAACATTTTTCGGTATTGCTCATAGTATCAAACGAACGCTCAGGGGCGCCTACACACCTAGGGTCAATTCTGTATGCATCATGTATCCGTGGAAATGTGATCGACTTACTATAGTTTCGGCTGTGAAAAGCAGCGTAACTTTTTGCTTCATCAGCTTCATAGCATCCCCCGCCATTTGTAGTATTGAAGTTAAAGAAAAAACTCTTTCCAGAACCTCTATCCGGAGAAACTAGTATAGTAGCTGGGGTGATATTGTAGTCGATTCTATGTTTACAAAGTGATTTAATTCAGTAACCGGCCCACGACATTGTCAGGTAATAGTGAACATACCGCAGGTTTTTAACATGGCCATGAACGGCCATCACACTAGATATCATCCCGAGAACTCGTTCCCACATATATTTGATGCCTTGGTAGTCGCAAGGAGGTTTATTTTCCGCAAAAATATCAGCTAGCGTCTCTTGTGAATGTTCGAATCCATTCGATGTAATTTTTACACGCTCTTGAGTTGCGACCCGAGTAGAACGGGACAGACAGTGGTCTGTTTCTAACACGAAGAAATCTCTTTCGTTATTCCTTCTGTTTCCGATGCCTACGGTCGTGCTGACTTGGGAATTGTATTTCGAAACAACCTGTGTTGAAATCCGTTAGCAACGACAGTTTTGTTTGTTTGAGTGTTTCATTGTAGAAGCTACCACAAGGAATGTACCTCAAATCTTTCTGGTATATAATTCTGCGCATTTTCAGGGGAAATTATTATGCGTATACCTGACTGCATTTTTTCCCCCAAATTTTGAATTGAGATGCTCTCGAAGAATGGGAAGGTAGACAAGCTGAGAAACTCCAAATCGGAGAGATTTCTCTCAAGATCCAGCAATGACAAGCAAATCTTCCACTGCTGGTCTGGGAACTCGCTCCATAAATTCTTTCCCTCAGCAGGATCCTTGTATCCGCTCAGAATTGCTGCCCAAGGGAGGCTGCCATCGTCAAGGCCGTAATTGAGCAGAGATTCAACTTCGGAATTTCTGGTGACATCAAACAGCATAGAGAAGAGAGGGACCCATGTCTGACAATAGCCTTTGAAATCCAGATTCCCCTTCAAGTATCCTCTGTTACATTTGGAATAAAGCTCGCGCAGGACAGACATATTCTGAGAAGACTCCATTTTGGGCAGGTTCATATGCATGCCCACGGAAGCACTAAAAAAGGAAAGAGTTGAATGTACAGAATAAAACATCAATGAAGAGTACAGGCGTAGGGGGGCAATTGAGCTTCCTAAGAAGCTAGTTAATAAAGCATTTCTTCCAAGGCTCGGGGCAATGAAGTGAAAGCCACATTTTCCGAGACGACATAGCCATAATCACCTCACTTATGTGCATTCCATGTTTTATGTCGGTCGATAAGGGCTCTGGTGGTGGCAATGTGGGAGGCGCAGCTATACTTGTACCACTGAATCCAACTAGAGACACAGCGTTTCGCAGGATGGTTATGCTGATGTGCTATATCAGCTCGGCTGAGCTGCGAATCTGCAAATCGCCTGCCTACACTGCCCTGAAAAGGGAATCGAAATACCACTTATGTGAAAATGGCCCAGTAAGGCCCAGTCAACGGAGGGACAGCATCAAAACATATAGTTGGAGAAAGAGCCGGCGTGTCCAGCAGAGGTGTGATTCTTGGCTATTAGCCTTACGTGTGAATATTTAGTCATTTACTCTTCAAACCAATTTGAGAACATCAGCTATGCTTCTCGGACTGTTATCGCCAACACCAGCCCCCTTAACCAGTCCATTTGCTAAACTACCCGTTGCCGGTATTTATGGTCTATTAATCTTCTCTCCAGTTATTAACATAAATTCATCCAACCTATCGTCGTAATCTCGTGAACATAATTTGGGAAGAATTCATCTCAGTCCGTGCTCTTAGACACAGCGCCAATCAGAATTTTCCAAATACAGGCCGTCACAGGTTTGTGGTCGACAATATCACTGCAGACAGACGGTTAGCTGGGCTAGAGTGAAGGTGGAGGAATAGGGGGAGAGGCTTACAACTCGTGCTTTTCGCCCAATTCATCGTCCAAAGATTCCAATCGCCTGATCCCAACAGGATCCGATCCAAATCGTATGAACTGTATAGCAATATCCGGGCGCGGAATGTCCTTTTCCTTCATGTGCTTAATCAGGGATTCAATAGGCCCATTCACGCTCAGAAGACCATTTTCAATCGAAGGATTCCAGACGCCATCAGTGAAAACCAAGACTGTTGTTTTCTTTTGAACGCTTGCGGAGCGAGTAATAAAGGAAAGCCTGGAGGAACCGGTAGATGCCGCCCCCCGTATGCTGTGAGCGACACTAAATAGTGCATTCTCCATGTCGCATGGGCCCCCCTCTCCATGTGCAAATTTCTGTGATATAAATCTCCTTGCATCAGTGGAATTCTTGAATCTGACAACTTTCGTGTAATCAGAAGTGCATCTGATTTCGCCTCTATCGGGATCAAGGTCTTTGACAAGGTAGCTCAGTTCTGAAACCCATCGGAGCACTACCTCTTTGTACTTCTGCATTGATTTCGAATTATCAATCAAAAATATCTTGGTTTTCCAGTTAGTGTCATTTTTGCTCCTTGGATACTGAAATGGTTCCAAACTCACGAAGTCTCGGCCTTTGAGTTGACCTTGGGCCAACTTCCACCCAGGCAGTTCATTATGCCCCCGAGTCTTCTTGGATTGTATCCACAGACTTAGCTGATCGATAGATACCTTCGTTTCATCCGCGCTGCTAGGGTTAGACTCTGTAAGCTCCTCGAGCTTAACTGGCTGTGTCGAGCTAGAGCATGGCGTAGACGTCTTGGAGATACTTTCGTCCTCAGACATCTCACGCGGAGAAATTTTGCCGGGCTCGCCCTGGAGGGGCTGAGCTGTCAGGATCCGTGGAGGCATTTCACTCCTACCAGTAAATGAACGTGTAGCTGGGTGAGCCTCGACCGAATGCGTTGAGCGCAACGCCGCAGGGGGGCGTTCATCATTTAGGATGGTACGCAATCTATTGTAAAGATTGAGAGAATTGATTCGTGAATCTTCCTCGATTAGAAGATTTTCCACGGCGAGTTTGACGATCTCCGGGGTAATCTTGTCACTCGGGCGCCCATGAAGCTTCATCAAATTGACGTATTCTGTTACGCAATTCAAGGCAACAGAGCGATTGTGAAAACAATCCCCGTACCCAAGATCCCCTAGGTCTGGCAGCTTTGAGATCTCTTCCTTGCGTTTGCTTCTGAAATCTTGGCGGCCCCGTTCATTGAATACGAGCCAAACCGCGGCCTCCATGATGATGCACCCAATGGACCACATATCGAGTGTAGGTCCCACAATATATTGCACACTGTCACCCAAATAGATCTCAGGAGGAGCTGCTTTGTTTTCTTATCAGCTCATGCCATTGCAGTATATTTGAATGTGAGAATTAATACCATAAATTCGTGTTGTGCCCCGATTTATGGCCTCGGCTGTAGCATTTGTTGGGATCAAGTAACTGGCGCCGAAATCGCTGATTTTGAAATGATAAACAAGCTTGCCTTCTGAATATTCCTTTGAAAAGACCAGAATATTGGATGGTTTTATATCATGGTGTAATCTTGAAGGAAAAGTAGTCAGCATTCGAAAAGCAGAAATGGTCGGTCGGTAACTCCTCACCCATCTTGGTATCCTGGCTGCTTATGTATTGTGTGAAGGCCTTTTGCAATTCCAGTGATCCCTTCCCAAAACGCCTTAATATCTTCAGGGAAAGATGGTGGTTGGCTTTCAAGATATAGGTCTAGCAGAGTACCATGTTCTGCATACTCGAAGATGAGGGTGCTGGTGCGGCCTTTCTTCTCATCGAACCAGTGGAAGCTCCCTTTGCAAGGTGCGATTTCTTTGGATGCGAAGACATTATTCGCTTTTCTCTCGACTTTATACTCATTATGATATATCTCTTCGTATGTTTTGAGAAGGATAACCCGCGGTACCTGAAATCAAAGTCATTGAATCAGCGACATGCTTCTACCGACATCCAGGCTTCACATACCTTGGCTTTCCTCGGTAGATGATCGTGCGCATCATCGTGTACAACCATCATTTTTGTAGTTGCCTCCCTTCCACTTGGACGTGGTTGGTGTAGTGATTTCCTCTCTTCGAATGGCAGGATGCTCCATTTATGTAATTTAGTGTCGCAAAGATCTTCATCTGGATCTAGAAGCACCGGACAGAACTTCCACTGAGCACTGAAAAATGCAAGATATTCGGGGTCGGCATTTTCTAGGAAATCTGGCGGCTGGAACCAGGGCAGAGTTGAGTCTTTTTGTTGGGCGCTTATGACTGACTCAAGAAGATGGAGGCTTGATGTATACACGAGGATCGAAAATACGCGCAAGTAACTTTTGATGATGTATTTAGGCTTTGGGCCAGGAATATTAACCTCCAGGAGGAGCGAACGGATTTCTTGTGGCCTCCAGTGGTTGATCAGGACAGAGTATGGCACGTACTGCCCAGATTCTCCAGAACAGGTGATACCATCTTTTAAATTACCTCTAAGATGGTCCTTGAAAGTCTGAGTATGGTTAAGACTAGGCGATGTCATGGGGTAGACAACACCCCGATGGGTGTTTGGAGGCACAGGTAAGATCGAAAGGGGAAGGGAGAATAACTGAAGAGATAAGGAAGAAAATATGCTATGCTAACCTATCTCTTGCGATAATGAAATCCTGTGGCTAGGTTGCCAGCATAAGATTGTATATCGAGTGTGATAGGGCGGTCTTCGGTATGACATGGAAGGGTTGCCTCGTACTGACGAACTTAGCGGTGGCTGCAAGCATTGCAAGTATAAGTACCATGTAGTTTTATTAACAGGAAAAGACAAAGTATAGAACCGAGAAGACAAACCAACATGAAGGGTATGGCAAAGCATAAGTGAGGCCAAGCCTTTGGCACTACACAATTGGGTGGCGCTGGTAGGAAGCCTTGGCCGATGCCTTGCTTCTGCACCAACCTAATTAGGGACAAGTACTACAGAAGAACCAAGTCTTCAGGGAGAAACACAAGGCGAACATGCTAGGCAACCTTGATGTGGATCCTCCTCTTCACGAGTGTGGCAGAGACAGAGAGCTGCGGCCAAAACAATATTCATGCATGGTAGCTTACTCATTTGGTCTCATGTCTCGTAATAGCGCGTGCTGCAGTCTATTACACTTTCAAACTGTGGCGTAGTAATCTCACCCCCCTTCCTCAACTTCCAGAGAGTCAACTCTAGCACAGCTGTGCTTCTCGTGCCCGCTGCCGCTGCAGCCGTCGGAATTTGGCCACGTATACATAGATGCCCCACAGAAGAATGGTGATGACCATCATGGGGAAGCATATTTTCAAAAAGAGCCAAAGGAGCCCCCAATTCATTTCCCAAGGGCTCTCCTTTGAAGTGGTATCAAATATTGGGGTACTAAAGAAGCTCTAGAGTTTTCAGGTTAACCTCTTGGACAATGACTGGGGAAGATATGAGAACAAGAAATCAGTCTCACCCCAAGAAAGGTGCCAGGGAGAAAAACCAAGGCGAAAAAGGTGATCACGTGCATAGAAGCGGTATCGCGTTCTGTGCTCTGGGCGATGTCTTCCATCCGTTTCGTGGAGCTTTCCATTCTTATCGAGGTTCCAAGGGCATCCATAGCGAATAAAGTACTCGTTTCTGCGCTTTGGCGCTGTTGGATTGAGTTATACTAGATTCTATCGTTAGGCTAGAGCTTTTGAGAACCGAGAAGGGGAACAGACAGACCAAATTCTTCCCATCGTTCGTGATATTGATCAGTGCATCCACTCTCGTACACTGGGTCGAGAGCTTTTTTTCAGAGGCTCTCATTCTCCTCAAAAAGGTTTGCAGTTCGGTGGCATGGTATTTTTTAATGCCTGGCGGGAATTCAAGAGCTTCAAATAAATCCTCATAAAACTCACGAATGTCAACCAGCACCCCTATGTTTAGCCCCATGACAAGTTTGGCCTCTTGAAGATTTTGGCAGGCTGAAGTCAGCTTTTGGAGCCCACTGAAGGGGAATTCTTCTAATATCTTGATCCTCTTAATCGAATTCTGAATCGTCTCGGTGTTTTCTTGTAGCCTCTCTGACGTAGTTTTCATCTTCTTAGGTTCAACTACTAGAGTTGATGAAGTGCCAAGCCTCCTTTCAGAGTTAATCCAACGAAAGTTGTCAGAGAGGACCGAGCTAATGCGTTTGAACGACTTAAGTCGTGGCCCCGCTCCATCTTGATTCTCCCAGGGAGAATTACTATTCGCTGAGCTGGCCCATTGGCCGCCATGATCAAAATTCATGTGCTCGTCTTCGGAGGACATGGAGATATTGTGTATTCGCTTTGAAATTTGGCGTATCTTTAGCTCCAAGACTCCAATATGTTCTTTCCATCCGTCAGCGCACCAAGTGAATGATATAAGCTGGGTCTCGAGAGAATCGAGAAAGGAGCGGGCGGTAGAGTCTGGAACAGCCCCCTTCCCTATTGCCTCAATTTGTCGCCGGATTGCATTATTATTCGCCTTTGTAATGATAAATAACGACTTACCTGTGGCGAAGTCAAAGGAATGGTGGACAGCTTGTTGGCGCATGAAATAGCCATCTGCGGATAGCTCCATGGCCGAAAGTTTGTATATATTTCTTAATTCCCATCCTGACCGTCCCAGCTCAGGCGTTTTCAAGAATCTTTCCGCTACTGGTGGTAGAAAGTACTCCTGGTGACTGGACGGTTGATGAAACTCGACGATGTCCCCGCTCGGCTCTCCAAACGACAATAGAGTATCAGCATATTCGGGTGAGATTTGTAGGTATGTGCAAAGGAAGCGGAATGCCTCCAGAGTACAGTTCAGTGGTTTTCGGGAATTGCCAGCGGAGAAAAAACTGTCAGAAGTCAGACACATATCTATGATCGCGAGTTCATCAGACACTAACATGTAGCGGACTATAGGATCTTTAATTCCCTTGTCAATATGCCGGTTCAGATGCTCTTTCAATATATCGAAGCTTCGGACTTCCTTGGATTGACAGTCTGTATAGAAGTTAGAAGGCCAGGAAAGACTTTTATGGATGCCAGAATAACACATTACGGCTTTGTGTTGAGTAGCCTTCCCGTAAAAGAAGTCTGAACTTGGCCAAATTGGTGATGAATAGACTCTCCCGTCGCAATGTGAGCTGGGAGTTGATCTGGTTGAGGGAATGGATGGTGGCCTGGACTCCTTCTTTCATGCTTGGACAAAGCGGCCATGATTCTGCTTTCTCGCAGTCGCGGACAATATCATCAAACATTTTTACCAATTCAGTACTCCCAGTTGCTCTATTGCAGGCCTGCTCTTTTGTGAGGATGCTTTCATTAATCGCCCGGACACACAGTTGTTATAACCGGGCGCGCTTGATCTGTACTCTCTGAGCCAAAAAAAAACATGCATGGGTGTGGCACAGTGCGGTGAGACATAAGGTAGCTATCTAAACAGGGGCATACATATAGGTCTGGGTGTATCATTAGTTGACTCCTTACACCTCGTCGCCTCTAAAGATATAATGCGAGGAGGCCACGCTTCACCACTTAAATATCTACATCCACAGCATAGTAATGGGGAAGATCCCATAATTGTTGATCAAGGTAACTTAGTAGGCTAGTACCTACCTCAAGGAGCATAATTCACAGGGAAATCGAGAAGTATTCTTTCCGAGCCTTGCCCTTTCATACACCCACTTCTTAGTAAGGCCCTATTTAATGAACCAATGTACCGTAATACTCGTCAAAGCGAGCCTGTGCGAAACAAAACTAGACCCAAGTCGTTACTTAACCCCCAAGAATTTCCCCGCCTAGTCATGTGGTCCTCTTCTTGTTCAATCATTACGTCTTGGAATTAGTTGTCTTCGACTTGGAGACCCTTTATAGCAGCTCGCTGGTCCTGCGAAGAATTTAGCTCATTCAGCTAAGCTTACGTGGACAACACCGGTGGCTGGCTGTCTTACCTGGCTTAGATATTGTGGTAGTTTCACAACATACGCATCATCTTCGCCCTCCTAAATGCGACTGGTTAGCCAAATCAGGTGGAGACAGGTAAATAGCCAGGGCTCATTCAGCTCTTTGGCCTGGGTGCCTTACTTCGACATTGATCGTGGTTGTGGGAAATTGCCCCTCAAGATACGTCTTCAAGACGTGCATGGGGAGGCGGTAGCGGGAAATGACTTCGGAAACCATTGTGACCAGTTGTCAGGATGCACGTTGCAAGGCAGACTGGAGGGCTTTATTTTCGTAAGATTGTATACGAGCTTGGGAGATGAATCTGCCTTGGGTCTTCAGAAAAGTCGTGTGTTGGCAGACTATTTATGCGCCTAGTCGGGCTGTGGGAAAGAAAGTGAGGCTCTGCTGACTCCCAATATGCACATTGCAACCCTAACACACCATGAATTGTTCGAAATAAAAGTTCCTTGCACAGTGTAAAGCATCAAAATAGACGCCTTGCAGCAAGCCGTGTCTTGGCTTACGACAGATCACACCCAAGGATCCTGGCTGAGCGCGCTTTAACAACTTGTGCACAAACAAGGCAGAGTCAGGCTCTGTCGGGAGGAAAGCTGAACTTCTTTGCTGCCTTGACAGTCTAATTCCAATCTAAACGTGTAGTTAATCGACATGGGCAGTCTCAGCCGCAATAAGTTTCTTTACAAGCTCAATACTTCTCAGAGCGGGAGGCACACCACATCATCTGCCGCCCAGATAGCGGTCAGTTTCCCCCCACGGGAGGCCACACCCTCACGGGAATGTGCTATGTAATCCTGCAGCTATTAGGCTTTCCTTGTGGATCCTTTCACTTTGCACAAGTTTCCCTGGCTCAGCCGTCTCTAATGTGCATCCACGTGGTATCCTCACCTGAGCAGCTTCGGTAACATATAATGCATAAATTACCGAAGAGAGTCGCCAATTCGCGCAGCCGCTTATCGATGCAGGAGGATTTAGTCAGGGAATGGCACATTGTAAGCCCCCCTCGATGCCTAAGGCTGGGTGCCAGTGTCCACGTCACATGTCTCATAAGGCTCCTTACCTAAGGTAGCATTTGTCTCGTAGCTCGAATGCAAAGATCGATGCCCATTCAATAGTACCGGTGTACGCGTGCTTGCTATTCGGCCATACCAATTAAATCTAGCCACGTAGGATAATAGATGTAGTGCATTATGTGAGTCTTCTTTTCGCATTCATCGATGGGCATGTTGGGCCATTGATGCAAGTCAAGCTGAAATCTTCCGATTCGAGTCCATTCTTCATTGGGCATTACTCAGCTTCTACACCAAAATCACTGATTGGCATGGATTCCTCGGGTTATGGAGAGCTCTCATGAGTGATGTGATTATGGGAATAGAAGAAAGTGCTGCGTTTAGGGTTAGGGTCACTAATTCACGCGATAAACTCAAATGCCCGGAGCAAGATAAGAGGGTTCGTGTTTTAATTTGCATGTTCACTACATGATATTTTATGCACATACAGAAGGCTTGGACTTGCGATATCCTTGTTAGGCATCATATGTTTGTCATGCTCAATCCATATATTAATACTTCTACCAAATGAACACCATGGACTCTTACTTCTATCCTATAACTTCCCATCACTCTTTAGTGCTATGTATAGAAATTATATCTACTCTTGCGCCTTAACTGCCTCGCCAACTGCCTGAGTGTCCGTCTTGAAATCCTTGAACTTCCTGGCGGGAACCTTCTTGATGAACATCTCGTCCAACTCCTCATAAGTGCGGTCGGCAGTCTCAGGGTGGTAGAACCAAAGGAACACCAAACTGAAGACCGCGAAGCCGCCGAAAATAAAGGCGAGCTTTGCGGAAAGATTGGCCTTGTCGGGGTTGAACAGGAGAGGGAGAACAAAACTCCAGATCATGTTCAGGAGACTCTGAGTAGCGAGACCAATGGCAATGGTCTTGACACGGAGGCGAGCAGTAGAAACCTCGACCAAAACAGTGTAAGCGGTAGCACCGATAGTTACGTTGTACCACCAGCAGTAAATCAGAATCAGGGCGACTGTTCCCTTGATCGCGCCCGGGGTGCCGGCCACGGCGAGGCCACCGGTAAGGAACAGGATGATCGTGAGAACAACAAGACCCCAGAATGTGAGTGCGCGACGCCCGACCTTGTCAACGAGGAACCAGGACATGACGTTACCAATAAGCGAGATGACCTGCTGGACGATCTGGAGCTTGAAGCTCATTTCGGTGCTGAAGCCGGCAAGCTGGATATAGTAAGTCGAGTAAGAAGCGACGAAGACGATGCCTGATAGGGATTGAATGCAGAGAGGGGCGATAGAAATAATCGTGCGGCGGAGGTTCGACTTTCGGAAGCATTCGATGTAGGTTACGCCCTCGGTCTCTTTCTTGATCTCCTCGAGAGTCTGGTTGATAGCAGCCAGGCGTTTCTCGCCATCTTCTCCCTTTTGCCCAAGACGGTTCAGGGCCTTTAGAGCTTTGTCATTCTTTCCGACCGATGCCAGCCACCAGGGTGATCTGTCGATGAAAGTGTTAGATTTCCATAAGCAAGGGTTTCAGATATTGTTGGGGTCCATACTCAGGCATAAACGGGACAAAGAGGGTAGCAATAAAAGCAAATCCATATTGGGCGCAGAAAACGGCGCGATAAGCCCAGCGGCTTTCGTATGTTCCGGTCCAGTTCACGATGAGCGCAACCACGAATGGTCCCAGTGTATAAGCCAGAGCAGACAGGCAGGTCAAAAAGCCTCGAAGGGCGAGGGGTGCAACCTATTTCAGGAAGAATTGGATTAGTTGAGAATCTTCGGCATTGTTTATAGAATCAAACTCACCTCTCCAATGTAAGAAACCGTGACAGATGCCAGGGCACCAACAGCAAACCCATTAAGGAACTTTCCACCGAAGAACAACTCATTGGTTGTAGCAACAAACTCCATCGTGATAGCAGCGTAAGTTATAACGAGACAGATGATAATCGTGGCCCGGCGACCGAGCCAATCGGCAATGGCACCACAGCCGAGAGCGCCGACAATACCTCTGAGTAACACGATTAGCCAGAGGGTCGTAACGCATGCATAGTGAGATGACTTACGATGCAACAGGCGCGCCCTGGAAGGCACTTTGCCAATTGGAATCTAAAACATAACCCCCCTCATAAGGGCGGCCAAAGTCTTTTCGGAACTCGGGAACACCGATGATGTTGCCAGATGCTTGGTTTTCAAAGGACACCAGCAGAACGCACCAAACAGCGTAGAGACTCCAGAGAAATGCTGAAGGGTATTTCTTGATCGATTCGAGCTTTCCAAGGTCGTGCTCCTCCTGATTGGCGATATTGGCCAGTTCTTCCTGAACTGGCAGGACATCAACGTGCTCGGCGTCTGACTTGGGCGTCATGGCGGCGGTGGCAGCGACAGTGGCGCTCGAAAGAGAAGTAAAAGAAACGAAGAACTTCCGGGGCAGGTCAGGTCGAGAGAACAAGACTTGAGGTAGCTGGTAGTAACTGAAACATTCAGGCAGAGCGTCCAGGTTATATAGAGATCACGCATGAAGCCTCTGACAGTGAATGATTCAGGTTACTGCTGATCCGGGGGTAGCGTCTCCACCGGATCACGGGAGCTCCAGACTCTTGACATGGAGAAGTATGGGGTTTGCATCCCTTAGATCGGAAAAGGTTGAATCCCCACGGCGGTTAAGTGTTCCTCTTCCAGGAGGTCTGGACCGAGAGGCTGGTGAGCCCCGCATTGGTTAGACCAGGCTGGAATGTCACTCTGCCACATGCTCTCCCTGCTCGGTGCTTAAGATGTCTATACTGGGCTTAGAGCTATCAAACCCGGCCTTGATCCCGCCTACCGGCGTCTAGAAATGCCTCCTACTGGCAAAATCTCGGCTGCTGTTCACGTTTGCTGTAAACTAGCGACTCAGCTACTTCCTAGCTCATTCCGAAAAGCTAAAAGTAGACGATGTGCCGGTTTTCTTCAGCCCAATTTAGTCAAGCTTCCTTAATTATTGGCAACGGGTGGTTACGCACGCTTGAATCTCCAAATGAGGCCGAGCCTAATGAATAACATCAATTAAGAATTCACTTTAAAGCATTTTCTATCACGGCTTGTTCTTCAAACCATATGAAACATGGAAAGGTCGAACTTTCAACTCAGCGGATGCAATTTCTCTTTTCGGCAGTCATCTGGACTGGCAAGGTCTCTATTGAGAACTGTCCAGATTTATTGCTCTTGGCTGGTTTTGGCATGAATACCTCCACGATATCCAACACTGTGATCTAGATTGCCAATATCG